TCATCTCCAGCTGCCCGCATGGCTTGGTGCAGCGGGTCAGCTGCTGGGCCCTCCCCGGGGCCAGCTCCACAAACATAACCCTTCTGCCTCAGCTTATAGCCTACAAAGTCTGCCACTAGAGCCCGTGTGTCTGGGGCCGAGGCTGGGGTCGCCATCCGGGCAGCTGTAGGAGTCAAGCACAAAAGACTGGCATGAATATATGGTCAGAGACCCAGAAGGAGGCACTTCAGGTTTGGCCAGCCTATGAGACAGGGAGGGAGGTGAGGGGAAATCTCAGAAACCACTGGGCCGGGACGAGTAAGAACAAGGAGATTAGGCCATGGTGCGGGGCCAGGGCATGAGGGGCTGGCCCTCAAATTCATAATATGCCAAATTAAATGTAAAACAAGTAAATTTCACCTAAAATACTTTAGGTTCTTTTCATAACAAGACAACAGCAGCTCTATGACACCTCTACACCTCCCCCACCAACCCCGCCACAGTACACACCTTTTTGGCTAGAGGAAGGGGCTTAGGACCTCCCCAGAGGCAAGATGTGAAGATGCTGGCAGAGGCACAAGATGGGCGAGAAGACAGGGGCTGAAGGGAAAGGGGGAGAAGCAAAGGGTTGCCTGGGACAGAGAAGGAAGGGGACACTCACCCAGCCTGGATGGCAGCTCTTAGGACCCAGCGCTGGTGGCAAGGAGCCCCCAGCTGGGGCCTTTCATCCTCCTGCCCAGCGTGGAGCCCTGGGAAGGGGAGGGGGAGATCAGAGCTAGGTGGGGAAGACCAGGGATCAGGGTCTGGGCTGAGAAGGGCTGGGGTTGCAGCTCCCGGGACCAGGCCCCTGCCCCCAACGCTCTACCAGCTGTGTGGCCGAATCCATGTTTAATGACTGTCCTCCCGGGAAACCCAGGGCCAAGGGCTTCCTGCCGACACCATCTCTACTCCCGCTCCCCCCAGTGCAGCCCAAAGGCCCAGCTCCTCCCTCACCCCCACCCTCAGCCGGTCTCCAACCCCGCCTGCCTGCCAGGTTAGGGATCTCACGGGTCAGGCCGCTGCCAGGATCTGGCTGTTTCCTGGTGCAGGAGCTGGGAGGGAGGGAGAGAGGGAGGAAGGGAGGGAAGGAAGGAGGGAGGAGAAAGGGGGGGCGGGAGGGAGGGCCCGGCGCCGGGTGATGATGGGGCCCAGAGATGCGTCCAGAGAGAGGGGCGGGGCTGGGACGCAGGCTTGGGAAGGGCCACAACTCAGGAAGAGAGAGGGCCGCTGGAGGCCAGGAAGAGCAGGGCCAGGAGGGCATGGAGAGCCGGACGGGGCTCCTGACCCTGGAGGCTACCCAGAGAAGCCGGCTGAGGCTCAGGAAACCTCAGAGCAAATTCAGCATTTCCAGAAGGTCTCTGATGTTCCATGCACTTGTTGAACTTTTCCAGCCCTGGAACGGGTGTCCAGAAAAGAGGAGCAGTTCCCATTCCGGTGGGAAGTGCCTGCCAGGTGCCTCATCCTGTGGGACTAGCAGACGTGACACAGACACCAAACACTTCACTTCCTCTTTTCTCCAGGACCTTTAACCCAGTGGTCTCTACGTGAGCTGGGGCTTTAGCCAAGCATCAGGGAGTCAGGACTTGGATCGCAAGCAGTTTCTGCAGGTAACTTTATCTTCTTCTTTTTTTTTTTTTTTTTGTAATTAGATTGGTTTCTTTTTTAGTTCTTTCTAGCCAACACATGAACTTATTCTCATTATGAAAAAGTCAAATAATATGGAAGTGTAAAGAAAGAAAATACAAGTACTCAATCCCCCTCCCTCTGCTCTTCCCCCAATTCCACCTCCCTTCCTGGAGGTTGCCAATGTCAAGGTTGATGTTTATCCTTTCAGATTACATATATATATGCACATACATGAATGTCTATCATTTATACAAGGCAGTATGTTTACACAGGGTGTGAAGCCATCTGACCACAGCTGATCCACACGAGGGCACCCTCAGGCATTCTGATTGGGGCCCACCGGCTCTTGCAGCTGGCACTTCCTTCAGCTCCATTTGGAGGGCTCTCCAACCAAAGGCCGAAAGAGGTAACCCAATTTTCCTTCCCTGCTGATTCCCTTTGCTTCTACCTCCAGTCCAAGCCTTGGTATTCCCATCTGCCTCTATGGTAACTAGAGAAGAAAGGTCTTTTTTGTAAAGATGGTGATGACTATTGAAGACTTATTAGGTACTAAGTGCTTTCTTTATACACTTGATATTTTATCTTCACACTAATCCTTATGTTGTGTTATCCTCATTCTATGGATGAGGAAAGTGAGGCTTGGAGAGGTTACGTAATTTACCCAAAGCCACATACTGAGAAGATGGGCCTCAACCTAATTCTGATTTGAAAGTTTGTCTTAACTTTAACACTGTATTGTTTCAAGGTCCCTCTTTGCTTCAGGTAATCAATGCTGTTATCATGCCATTTACAAGGCCAAACTGAATCCACATCATTTGCAAACTCAAACTCAGTTCTCCCCAATATTCTGAACATACCACCGATTCCACTCCTTTATGACTGTATACTTTCAACCATTCTCATTTCTTCTTTGTCCTTGGGCTGATCATTCAGCTGCCACCAGCAAGATTGCCTTCTTCTTCTTCTTTTTTTAATGTAATATTATTTATTTTATTTTTTTTTTGGCTGCGTTGGGTCTTAGTTGAGGCACACAGGATCTTTCCTTGTGGCGTGGGCTCTTTGTTGCGGTGCACGGGCTTCTCTCTAGTTGTGGCGTGCGGGTTTTTTCTCTCTCTAGTTGTGCCGCGTGGCCTCCGGGGCACGTGGGCACGTGGGCTCTGTAGTTTGCGGCACGCGGGCTCTTTCACTGAGGTGCGCAAGCTCAGTAGTTGTGGTGCGCAGGCTCAGTTGCCCCGCGGCAGGTGGGATCTTAGTTCCTCAACCAGGGATCGAACCCATGTCCCCTGCATTGGATGGCGGATTCTTTAGCACTGGACCACCAGGGAAGTCCCAAGTTTGCCTTGTTTTTAATAAAATAATCTAGCCTAGTCCTTCGTTTGCAGTCCTGATTTCTTCTAAGAATTTACTTGAAATAAAAACACTTTTGTCACAGGATCCGAATAGATTTCTGTCTGCCCACCCATTTATTTATAAGCTTGGTGAGAGCAGGCACTGAATTTTATTCACTTTTATGTCCTCATAGCCTAATAGACCCTCAGTAAATGTTGACTGAAGAAATCACTCGATGCCTCTGGCCAGTTATTGAGTAGGCGCAGTCAGATGTTTGAAGATCACTGCAGTGGCTGTTTAAGAAACAAAGACTGCTGGACCAACACAAATTACACCAGGTCCAAAGCTGTGTACCTCAAGGATCTTCTCAGGCCAACACTACAGAGCCAAGGAATGGCAGCTCAAACTGTAGACAAGGCAACAGAGCTTTTCCCAGAAAACCTCGAGCCATTTAGGCTGACGTGGAACCTTACCTATTCTGTCAATAACATATTTTAGCAGAGCAAGGAAGACAGTTTTTAACTGCTTGACTGTAACACAAATTACTGTAGCATTATTTTATACCCTAAAATATGAAAAGAATGTGTCCATGGATTATACACGTATGTGTAAAATAAGAAAATAAAACTCAATATCACTTTAAAAATGAGTCCTGGCTAAACAGCATTGCTATGGTTAGTACTGGAATTAAAATGCAAGCAGGGATAAATTATATAAGATAGCATATGTCTCACTATTTATTTCCAACTTAGTCACTTGTGATTTTACGGTTAAACACTCCTGTTGCTTTAAATTTAGAGATTCCATTTCCACTCTAAGATTCCCCGTTTCAATGCTCTGAGAATGTTAACTATTACCATGAAATGTTTTAATCCACTTATAACTAAGTGGATAAAAGAGTAGACTCTAGAGTGGGACTGCTGACTTCTAATTCCAGCTACCCAAATATTAATTTACGTGACCCTGGGCAAGAGTCCTATCCTGTCTCTCCCTCAATCTTCTCATCTATAAAATAGGCATAATACTCCCTAGTCCTATGATGACTGTATTATATGAGCTAGTATTTGTAAAACAACGGTACTTAGCACACTGTAAGTGCTACACAAGATCAGGAGGAAGTTAGAAAAAAACTAAACTTCACATTTTTTTCCCCACTAATATAGAAAAAAATGGAGTAAAAAGCAGTTCTGTGCCCTTCTTGGAGCTCCCACTGGAACTAGAACCCCGCAGCCCCAGCTCCAAGAGTTATATGTGATGATTCATTCAATAATTTGAGGGCCTACTATGTGCTGAAACTGACCATGAATCAGACACAGCCTCTGCCTTCAAAGAGCGTACAGTCGGGTTAGAGATCAGACCTCTAATCCACTTTTTTACAGATGAGAAAACTGAGGTCCAGAGAAGTTGTGCCTTCCTCAAGGTCACGTAGCTAAATAGCACCAGAGGTGAGACCAGAAAATATGTCTTTCCACAACTCTCAGCTCAGAACTCTTTCAAATGGGCCACCCACCCTTTTGAGTACCACATCTCAGCTTCTGTTTGAGATTCTAACTAGCTTTCGTGACCTTCCCATGTTTTCGCCCACCATCATCCTCCCAAACCTGGAGCCTAGGGTTTGGGAAAGAAGACGTTGAGCCCTGAAGAGAAAGTTACAGGCTGGGCCTTTTGAAAGTTCCCCGAAAAGGAAAGGAAAGGTTATTCTCTACTCCCTGCGTTAACTCTTCCCGAGCCGAAAGGCTGAGGCCGTTAAAAAAGAAAAAAAAGAAAAAAGGCAGAGTGGCCTCACTCAGGACCTGTAGGCTGGAGTGCCCACCTCCTGCTGGATGGGGAGCCACCTGTCAGAGGGCTGTGGGCGACGGCCGCGGGACCGGAGGGTGAGCGCCGCTGAGCGCACGCTCAGAGCAGAGAGACGCAGGAGGTGATGGTCAAATACCCTGGGAGCTGAGGTGGAGGATTCTGAAGGTGACAGCAAGGAGAGTACGCAACTGCGAAGGGCGCCTGAAGCTTCTGCGCCAATACCAGGCGGGTGGGAGACAGGAAAGGAAGGCAGCGCGGCGTCGCTGCGGGAGGGCTCCGCCGGGGCGGGGGGTGCCATGTCTCGCGAGCGGTCCCCCCGCACCGACATTCCCCGCAACCTGAGCTTCATCGCCGCGCTGACAGAGCGCGCCTACTACCGCAGCCAGCGGCCCAGCCTCGAGGAGGAGCCGGAGGAGGAGCCAGGCGAAGGCGGGACGCGCCTCGGGGCCCGATCCCGAGCTCCTGCTCCGAGTCGGGGGCGCAGGGCTCGCTCTGCGCCCGCCGGAGGCAGCGGTACCCGGGTGCCCCACAGCCGCAGCCCCGACACCCGTAAGAGAGTGCGTTTCGCCGACGCGCTTGGGCTGGAGCTGGCCGCGGTGCGCCGTTTCCGCCCGGGAGAGGTGCCCCGGGTACCCCGCCACGTGCAGGTCCAGCTGCAGAGGGACGCCCTTCGCCACTTCGCGCCGTGCCAGTCCCGCGCCCGAGGTCTCCAGGTAGGCGGCAGAGGTACGCCCCTTCCCCAGGACCTCCCCAACTTGGCCTCGGCGGATTTATGGGATTGGATTTATCTAGGAGCACCCATCCCCACCCCGAACCCTGGGCTTGCTCTCGCTCATCCCTTTTGGTGTCCCCATTGGCAGGTGGCTCTAGGCCACTCTCCCAGCTGGGCTCCCCTCTGACTGCCCGGACGCCGGGGTCGGCCTCCGATTGGTCCCGTGCCTCGCCCTGACCCCGCCCCCTCTCTCTCTCCCCTCCCCTCCCTTCTCCTGGGCTCCCTCCTCCCCTTTCCTCCTTTCCCCCTTTCCCAGCAGGAGGCGCGCGCTGCCCTGGAGCCGGCCAGCGAGCCTGGCTTCGCGGCCCGCTTGCGGGCGCAGCGAATCTGCCTGGAACGCGCCGAGGCGGGCCCGCTGGGCGTGGCCGGGAGCGCGCGCGTGCTGGACCTGGCCTACGAGAAGCGCGTGAGCGTGCGCTGGAGCGCCGACGGCTGGCGGACCCAACGAGAGGAGCCCGCCGCCTACGCCGGTCCGGCACCGCCCCCGCCGCGCGCCGACCGCTTCGCCTTCCGCCTGCCGGCGCCACCCATTGGTGGCGCCCTGCTTTTCGCCTTGCGCTACCACGTTAGCGGCCACGAGTTCTGGGACAACAACGGCGGCCGTGACTATGCTCTACGTGGGCCCGAGCACCCGGGCAGTGGTGGAGCCCCGGAGCTACAGGGCTGGATCCACTTTATCTGAGACGCCTGCGGCCGACGGCGGAAAAAAATCAAAGGCACCGGGGGGCTGGGGGATCCCGAAGATTTGGTGGGGAGGAATGGGAGAAACCGATATTGGCGGGGAGCTGCCCTAGAGAGTCAAGCCCGGGAGGGCGAGGAGGATGGGGGAAACCAAAGGGGTGTGGGGTGTGGGTAGAATCAACGAAAGTCGGGGAGGTTGGGGTGGATGTGAGTGGAGGAACCCAAGTCATAGAAGGAGGGAGACGGAAAGGGTGCTGGAAGGTTGGAAAAGAAGCAAAAGGACGATAGTGACGTTCTCTTCCGTGAGTGGGCATTGGGAGAAAGTGAGTAGGTCCGTCCGGCCTAGGCAGTCAAAGGTTGAGGGTAACTCTTTGGGACCGAGGACATATTTTGTGTGAACTAGGAGCCCACCACAGTTGAAATCATTTAGATTGCTGGCTCATTCCCTCTTCTAACTGGCCTTAGCCAGGTTCCCCAGCCCTGCCCATCGTAGCTTTAACTCAGCCATAATTGCCTTGCTTAAGTCCCAGGAACTTGGCCATTGCTCCCCAGCCCCTGACATTATGACAGGATTCGCTTGTCACCCCAGCCCCTAGCTTCAGTCTTCACTGACTGGCTGGGGAGTGATGGCAGGTAGCATCAGAGCTCCTTCCTCCAGCCTCCAGGCAGCCCTGGGGATGAAAATGAAAGCAAAACCAACTCCAGGCTTGTCCTTGTAGCCAAATAATGCGGTGCCTAAGGTGTTGGTGCACTCAGGGGCTTCCAGAAAAATGCCAGCCTTACCTTTCTGGGTGCCTTCTAATGACCTCTAAGCACTTTATGGACTGTATCTGTCAAGAGACAGGTGAATCACAGGATTCCTTCTGCCACAAAAGAAAAGGAAGTCACTGACTAGCTGGATAACTTTGGGCAAGTTACTTCACCTCTCTGGGCCAGAGTTTCCTCCTTGAGAAACTGCATTTGGATTAGGTGATCTCTTAGGCCCCTTCTTGCTCTGACATTTTATGATCTGTGAGGGGCAGAGTGTGGATTAGAAGCCACATTCTTCAGCCTACAGTTGGAGTGCTTACAGTTCAGAACACACAGCACCCCAAGCATGTGGTTGGGCCTGAGAATGGCTCTCCAGTTTTTGACACGTGTTCCAGAGCCCAGAAAGCATCCAGTCTGCAGCAACCAGCCTGCAGCCTCAGGGTATTCCAGGGCCTCTTTCAAACCACAGCTCATCCTCTGCCCCTTGCTTTTGCTCTTCCCCCAACAGACTTCCAGCCTGGGTGCTGTGAGACAGCTTTGGGGAGGTGCCTCTCTAGGGGAAAATGATGCTTGGGAGCCCCCAAAATGAAAGGAAACAACGTCGGGGACTTTCTTGAGTGTAAAGGATTATAGGTATAAGAAACGGAAAACATTTCAAACCAAGAATCAGAGCACCTTGAAAATTAAATGGTACCAGAAGATGGCAGTCTGCTCCATACCCTGAGCAAGTGAAATGGGAAAGCTGGACTCTTCTCCCCATTCACGTTTATGCCTTATGTCTCTCCTGGTTAATCTCAGCTGGTTGTTTTTCCTCTCCTCTCACCCTATGTCTAAGCTCTTTGCTTTTTTCTTTCCTTGTCCCCGTCTCATCACTTTCATTTTTCTTTTAGCATATACGGTATTTACCTTCACTTTCTCTATTTCCATCTGCCTCCCTCTTCATCCTTGTTGAAGATGAAGGAGTGGAGAACCTACTTCCTTTTCTCCAAGACCATGGTTGATCCACCTTCCTCCCTCAGGCTCCTTCTTGACAGTCTTCTAGAAGGGAGAAGAGGGAAAAGCAGTTCCTGATGCTGCAGAGGAACAAGGAGCTCCCAGGTAACCAGCTCCCCACACCCATTTCTATCTGTTGCTGATTTCTCAAGATTTTCTGGATTCCCCTTTTATCTCTTAGTGAGCGAGGGTACACGCACACGTGCCCATACATGCGTTCAGAATAGAGTATGGGGCTTATTACCATGCCCCTCCTCTCCAAATCTTTAATCCTTTGAAGAAAAATGGCTGAAAGACAGAAACCCTGGGTCATTCCTCAAACAAATGCCCATTTAAGCATCATCTTCACCTGGTGGAAAAAACAAAGAATTTCATGCATCTTGTGGATCACCCTCAGGTCAAAGTTCCAGCAGAGTGACGAGAGAAAGTGTACTGAAAGCCACCAGCAATACACTTTTTAGTCACCAATGAAGAGCCCAAGGGAGGATAATGGAGCGGGAGAGTGGGTCAAGGCTCAGTGTGTGATAATCTCTTGCGTAATGTGTATGCATTACTGTTATGTGTATCAGCAGTCGCAAGAGCCCACATTGACTTACGTAGCCACTAAAATCTGGTGTCTTGCATGCTTTATAATCTGCAAAACAACCCTATGAGTTGAGCAATGTTATTCCTGTTTTAGAGAGAAAACAATTCAGAAAAGCTCAGTAATTTGTGCAAGATCACACAGCTAGTAAATGGCGGAGCTAGGATTGTGAACCCAGGAAATCTCCAGAGCCTCAGTGCATAACCATGATGTCATAATATTATCCTTTAAAAACAAAATTAAAACCTTGCCATTAAAAAAAAAAACAAACAAACAAACAAACAAAAAAAACCTTGGCACATACCATCTCTTATTAGGAAAAGACCAACAGTTTCTAATTGTGCTCTGCCTTCCCATCCTCCCAGCCTCCCCAACTGGCTTGGAGAAGGCAAAGCACCAAGGGTCCCAAGCTTCATCTGCTATTTCCAGGAGCTTGCTGCTGCCTCCTGTGCCAGTGTCCCGGCTCTGCAGGATCAGCAAGGAACCACTGCACCTGTGCCTGCGCCTGCTGGAGAACTTGGGAACCCATTTGAACTCCAGCCTTGCCATACATTGGGATTCTCTCCTGGCCCTAGCCAGTCCTCCACACTTGTTGGTATGCTGTGCCCCTTCCTACTACCCCAACTAGCCTTGAGCAGGCCAATTCCCTAAAGTTTCCACTAGAAGGGTCTCTGACTAGGACAGTTGCTGGATGGTGTGTGCTTGGGCCCTCTCTGGGAACCTGAGTGTTACTAAGCAGATAAATGCAAATGGTTGGGGGCAGGGAACCAAGAAGAGTTCATTGTTCCTGAGCTTTTTCTCTAAGAAGTACCCTGGCTCACCCATGCCCCTGTTCTCAGCTTTACAGAACCAAAACATGAGTCTTCTGGTTCTTCCCATACAGAGCTGCCCCAGGGCCTGGGGGTAAGCTGCTAGTCTAATCTGACATGGGAAACACTAGGAATTTGGCAGAAACTTCAGAGATTTGTCATGTGTTAGGCGTTGTGGTAGGGACTTTCCTCTAAAGCCTGATGACTATACGAATGGGGGCAATTTAGGGTATAACCTGTTAGCCATGGACTGGGAAGGGCCATAAGAGAAACCATTACCATGGTCATGGGCTCGGGTCCTTGAAGCAACACAGCAGGAACACTCTTGCTCTTTCCTGTCATCCAGACCTCAGATGTCTTCCTAAGTATTCTTCCTGTTCCTTTGTTTTCTTTTATGAATATAGCTTTTATGAATACATCATTTCTTTTATGAATATATCATTTCTCTTCACAATAAGCCCTAACTCAACTTGGCAATCTAATCCCACATTCCCTTGCTTCTAACTCCTGTGTTTCTCTGGAGCCCCTCTGGATCCTTGCAATCTGCAGGTCATAGAATCCAGAGACCTGAAAAGGCTTGTCTTTAGAGATCACTGGGTCCAGACCCCTCTAGAGATGAGGACACAGGTGCAGAGATGAGAAGGGACCCCAGCAGGGTCAGAGAATTTGTTAGTGCAACTCCAGATGGGACTTAAACCCAGGCCTCCTGACCACCTCCCATTCCCAGGCTATGAAACAGGCCTCTGTCCACACGGTCAGACCCACGATTTTTCATGGCAAGGGACACGTCAGAAATTTTCATTTTCTGCTTCTAGTTTCCATTCCCTTCCCCGTCCAGGCAGAAAGAGAAACAAAAGGGACTGGTATGTCCCCAGCCTTGGCACTTCTTTCAGTGATATCGCTGAAGAACAGTGAAGTTGCTAAAACAAACAACAACAACAAAACAACAACTGAATAATCTACCCATTGAATAGCTAACCTGGAGAGGAAATGAAAGTTTGCTATGTGAATCCCCCTCAAACCACCGTTCTCATCAGACCCTTCCTGAGCCTCCCCACCCTCTTCACAGTGCAGCTCTGTACACTGAGCCCCAGACCCACTCGTATTGTGCCTCACTTCAGCCTCCTCATGCAACTGCTCTCCCTTCTGGATAAAAGACCTCGTAGTTGAAATAAAGTTGAAATATGAAAAGAAGGTATAAGCTACTGAGAAGTATTGTTTGTTTGGGGCTGAGGGTGGCAAGAGACCAAGAGGCACCCTGCATTTCTTGGCCATCTCATTTCTTGCAAGTCCTGTTCCCTGTCTGCTGGAGTCCTCTGGCTATGCAAAAGTTGGATGGGAAGGAGATGTGGAGGAGTTGGGCGGCCCTGGTATGAGACACCCCTATAGTATCACGACACCCTTTTGGGTAGTGGTAGGGGAAGTTACCAGACCCAGCTCATAGCTCCCTTGCACCCAGCACCAGCTGCTGTTGCAGTTGAAGCGAACAGCTCAGGTGAAGGCCCCAGCTCAGGTGAAGGCCCGTGTTTCCCCTTGGTGGTTTGCTTTTCTTAAGGAGGACATTTAAATTACATTCTGCTCCTTAGGCACTGGAGGGAAAAGCAAAGCCACTTTTGTCTATCAAGGGCAATCCTAAAACAAAGGACAAGAAATATGATGGAGAGGAAAAGCGAGGACCTCTATTTGAAAAAGATCAAGTTCTAACATAGTATTGACTCCCACATCACCTGAATGATGAAAAGAGTCCAATTATCCACCAAGTAATGAGACTGTTCCTTATAGGGAAGCCCTAGCCCGAGAATAATCAGATGCCTCATCATTACATCATAATGGCCAAGTTGTGATGTCACTGCAGAGCACCCACTCTTTAGTACACGCATTGTAATTGAAACCGGATATGCTGAAGGGTAGGGTCAGCATGAGGAGCAGATCCCCAAGAAGAGGTAAGTGGGGGCTTTCCATGGGTTCCCTCCATGGCTTATCGCCTAGGGTCACTCTGTGGCCCTAATGTCTTTCCAGACTTCTCACATCTTAGTTTGGTGGTAGGTTTGTCTGAAATCTCTCTTCTGCAAACTCCATTGCAGCTTTTGCTATCCCAAATCCTCAATACTTGCAGTTGTGACTGGTCAGCCCTCACGTCTGTTTTTTAGGACAGAGCGCAGAACACTGGAGCAGGGTTTCCCTAACTGGGGCAGAAACTCACCATATCTGTTTCGTTAGTCCCAGGGATAGATCCAAGTTTTCGTTTGTCTGAAGCATACAACTTTTGGGGCCTTTTTCAAGTAAAATAAATATTTCAGAATGAGAAAAGATATTTTAAAAATTATAACTTTTAAAAAGCTGACAAATATCACAAAATCAAGAAAAATAACAAATTTTAAAAATTACCTATGTGGCAAACCTAAATATTTTCCCCCACAATTTTGTTTTTGGCTGCATGCTCTTTGATAGTCTTTTTATATGATGATTATAGATAATTTTTCCATAAAGAGATAATTCCATCTCCATGATCACTTTAAAAAAATTCTTTATAATTAAAAAAAATTTCACCTTCACACCTTGTAAGTAATAATGGCACATAATTTGGGGGGATTTTTGTCAAACTTGGAAAAACACTACCAAATGTCTTCAGTATATGTGGTGTAAGATTTTGGAGCATTTTCAAATTTGCAATAATGAATATCATAAACTATGAATTTTTGACAGTGGGAGTATTCCTGGAAGCTGTATGTATTAAGTTTGTTAGAGCTGCCATAACAAAATACTTAGACTGGGTGGCTTAAACAGTGGAAATTCTCTCGCGGTTTTGAGGCTAGAAACCTGAGATCCAGGTGTTTGCAGGGTTGATTTCATTCTGAGGTTCCTCTCTCTTGGCTTGTGGATAGCCATCTCCTCCCTATATCTTTACATGGTCCTACCTGCATGTCTGCATCCAAATTTCCTCTTATTATAAGGACAGCAGTTATACTGAATTAGGACTCACCCTAAAGACCTCATTTTAATTTAATTACCTCTGCATAGACCTTGTCTCCAAATATGGTTACATTCTGAGGTACTGGGAGTTAGGACTTTAACATATGAATTTTAGCAGGACACAGTTCAGCCCATAACACTGTAATTACTGTTTATTCACAGAAGTAACTGCAAATCACAGATGTGTAACTCCTACACCCAAACTAAATGTATTCCCAGCTCAGCTTCCTTAGTCAATCCCCAAATGCCCGTGGCCTCTTCATTGCCACTGGACAAAAGGAGAAGTGTGATGGAGGAGGAGTCAGAAAGGAAAGAGACATCAGTCTTGACCAACTGCAGTTTAAATTTTTTTTTTCAAATTCTACAAAAACCTATGATCATATTAACACATTGCTGGGACTCCTCCCATGCTTTGGAAGAGTTCTGTGCAAGAGAGGGCCCTTCCTCCAACTTCCTTAGCTGTTAGGTCATTGTGTGGTCAGTCCTGCTATATTTCTGAGCCATGCAAAGGGAGAGGGAGTTTTCACCAAAGATTAAGGATGATGTGGTAAATCCACATTCTTTAGCACTAGTCCCTGGAAGAGCTGGGATGATTACTGTCTTGCTGAAGGTGGGACCCTCCCTTCTCTGATAATGTCAAGTCTGGACCTCTTCCTCTCTTCCACTCCCCCACCCCAGTCCACTCTATCTTCTAAAGTGTTAGGGTGATAGCTGGTTCACTTTGCCGTACAGCAGAAACTAACACAACATTGTAAAGCAACTATACTCCAATAAAAATTAATAAAACACAAACAAAAAAAAACACACAAAAAAAACATTAATAAAACACAAACAAAGTGTTAGGGTGAAACCCACATAAAGGAGGTAGGCTTCAGCCTGTTCTCCAGAACTGGGGCAGAGGAGTTTCTTCTTTCCTTGGATTCTTCCTCCCTTAAATCTGTCTTTGATTCTTCTCCCTACACCTGAATTGGGAGTGAGTATCCTTCTGAGACAAGAAATGTGACTGAGTTGTCTACCTTTCATAATTCCCAGCCCATGATCTGTGATGCCCAGAGTGACTGACTGAACCCTCCAGGGGCAGCCACTAAATTTTCACAGTTCCTGCCTGGCTTTCCAGCCAAATAAGCGTGAGTTCTTCCAGGTCAATCCAGTTTCATTGTTTGGATTATAAAACAATAAGCTCTCCATCGACAACTGAGGGCTGCCTGCTGCCTACAGTGTTTCACTTTTCCCTTCCTTCATTACATACAAACCACTGGCGTATTGTAATGTCATGATTTAGGAGAAGTTCTGTATGTACCACCAGCCCTGGCTTAAACCCTCAGGGATCAAAAGTTTCTAATTCTAAAGCTGAGAATATTCTCTCTGTTGCTTACTCCTATGATGTTTTTGCAGGATACTAGTTTGAAGGGCATGGCTCTTAGGAGTTGAGATTGTTACTAAATGTATTGAGGGAGAGAGGGGAGGAAGGGGCAAATGCAGGGCCAGCAACGGAAAATGGGGCTCCAAGCTGAATTAGAGATATATTTCTCATGCTTGGCAACCTTGAAAGAGCTCTTGACCTTAGACTGGAGCAATGAAGAATCAGAAGTAGCGATTATGGTGGTTAACTTTTAGGGGGTGCCGGGGGAGTGGCGAGATCTGTGGAATACAGGGCAAAGTCTAAAATTGTTTTATAAGTTATTGTCGGTATATAAGCTATTGTGACCTAAATAATACAAGAGGAGACTAGCATGAGAAGAGTCACTTCAGAAAGTATTGTTCCCAAGTTTTAGTCAGAAGACTGAGAACCTAACTATACAAACCTTTGGCCCAGAATTTCGGTGTGGAATACTGTTTCGGTGGAAAGAGCATTTTATCGCACTCCCTTTCTTGACAACAAAAACCAAGGTCCCCAAATATGAGGCACATTTCCATGTCCTCTTTACTAGGGCGGGTGTGGGGGGGAGCTGGTAAGTCCGAACGAGGTGACCTCCTCTAGCACTTCGTCTTTGAGAACACCTGTCTGGTGACAGCTGGACCCGGGAAGTGGCCGAAGGTGCCGGGCTGCTAGGATCTCGTCTTTAAGGGTGTCCAAGACATTTGATCCATCTCGAGAACAAGTTCCCGGTTGCTCTAGGCGCTTCGTTTACAGTGACGCCGCTGACAGCGGTTGGGCCCTCGTCTGGGAACGCGCGTCTCCTGTGTGAGACTGGCAAAGGGATACTGAAAAAGTCTTCCTTCCGAAGGAAACAAATGGGGAGTAGTTGTAGGCGGTCTGGACAGTTCAGCAAACTGCTGTGAATTTCTTGGGGAATTCCAGGAGGAACATTGCCCAGTGGACCCCGAAGATCCGGCGCCCACAAGGCGAGGGTAGGAGGGGGTACCATTCACTGCATCCTAGCCCGGGGGGACATCTTCTCTGCCCCACGCAGCCAATAGCCACCCCGGCTGAGGCCCACGGAGCCAATAGCCGACTTCAACCGAGGCCCACGCAGCCAATGGCCGGCCCAGTCTGTTCCGCCGGGGCCCGCCCACCTGCGTTCACCAATCAGGACTCGGGCCACCTTGGCACCGCCCCTGGAGCCCGCCCCACCCATCCGCCCCGCCTCCAACTCGCTGAAGCAGGGCTGGGCTAGACGGGCGCGCTCTCGGGGGCGGGGGGGGGGCAGTCCCGGTCCCAGCCCTCCGCGCGGGTGGGCTCGGAGCAGGCCGCACCGGGCAGCAACCCCACTCTCACCCCGGAGGCCCCCTGCCCTTTCTCCCCCTTTCCCCCCGGCCCATGGTGCGAGGCTGGGAGCCGCCGCCCGGGCCGGACTGCGGTGAGTGATCCCCAGCCCTTTCGACTTCCCCTCCCAGCCCCTGTACGATCTCCGACCCCCGGAGCCCATCCCCGCGCTGGGGGGAGGAGAATTCTAGGTTTGAAGTCGCCTGGTTCTCTCTCCTTTCTCCTCTGGACTTTTCGTTTCCCTGTTGTAACTGGGGGAGGGTGAGTGGGTGTGTAGGGAGGAGGGGAAGGCTGGGTAGGGACGCCCTTGGCGAGGGGAGGGTTTGAGATTCTCCTGCTTCCTGGGGCTCATCGCCCCAAGTGCAGGAACTTTTTGTTCTCTGACCCAGTTTGGAGCCTTCTAGACTGCCTGTGAAATGGAGGATAGGAGAAACGTTTCCTTCCCAGGCCTCCCCTCCTCCCCTCCATGACTACCTCCTAGCGACCTCAACACATGTACAGAAACCTGGCCTTATTCCTGGGGAGCAGTGGCCTTTGGGAATGAAAGGTTTAAGAGAAATTGCCCCTTCTGACCCCTACCCAGACATACTCAGAAAACCAACTAGGAAAGTGAGAACCTGAGTCCTCAGAGGTTCCTGGTGTTGCGTCCTAATCTGAGACTTAAAAACTGAAAGAAGACTCAAGCTGAGACCTATTTGGTAATGAGGGCCCAGATGTGATGTTTTATCATATGAACCCCCTTCTCACCATACATTTGAAGCGCTTTTTATGATTAGGATAAGTAGGTGGCAGTAATTGAAGACAAACAAAAAAAAAAACAACCGAAAAAACAAGCCAGTTGGGAATTTTTTAAATGATGCATACATATCTTAAGAACTGTCATTAAAAGTACGTTCATTTCACCAATCTCTTCGGTTAGTGTCCAGGCGTTTTCTTTATGTAAGTATGCTATTTGGCAGTCCCAATTGTCTTTCTAGGATAAACTACATAAGTGAATCTCAAATCTGGCTGCACCCTGAGAACTTTTTAAAAACTACTTATGCCTGGGCCCCAGTCCAGGCTAATTAAGTCAGAATGAGGAGGTTGATGCCCTGGTTTAAGTTTCCCAGGTAATTCTAATGTGCAGCCTGAGCCTGGAGCCACTGCCTCTCATCATCTGTGATTTCCACATTTGGTTTCTTTAAAGTGGAGTGAGAATTTAAACACTTTTGAAGCAATCTGAGTGCAGAATACTTCTGAGTTTTTTAAATCCCCTGCCCCTCCAGTCTTCTACAGTTTTCTTGCCTACTCCCAACTCAAAACAATTTTTTTAATGTACACTCCTTTGTATTATGTCTTTCCAAAGCATTTGACTTTGTTTTCATAGAAACAATTTTTTTCTTTTGGCCGCTCTGTGTGGCTTGTGAGATCTTACTTCCCCAACTAGGGATTGAACCCGGGCCCTCAGCAGTGAAAGCACGGAGTCCTAACTACTGGACTGCCAGGGAATTCCCAGAAACAATTTTTAATGCACTAATTTTTCATAGGTTTATGTGATGTTTAATTATTATATACAGAAAAACAATGAGCCTAAGCAGGTTTGGAATTACACACAACTGGCCTAAGCACATAGGGCAGCTGAAGGAAGCAGCTGACTTTGCCATACTAGAGTAGCCTACCAGTCTCTAGTTTCCAGTGCACTATGGGTATTGATAATGTAATCCAGTAGGGGTCAGTTAAGCCAGGCTTTTGGCCCAGTTGAACACCCCTCACTTCCACTCTCTCCAACTAATATCAATGCCTAGTCGCTTCTAGACTAATTAAGATTCTCTTGAGTCTTCCAGCCATTCTTTCCATTCATTCATAAACTGTTTCTCTTTAAGCATTACCACCATTGCTTTTATTAAGTTGGGAGAACATAAGGCAGAGTTTATTAACCAGGCCTTCTGGGCAATCAGCAAACCCCCCGAGATTATACTTTATGTAATGTGTAAGTGTGAATGTTTATGGGGTGGGGGGGGCAGTAAGTCATAACTTTCTGAGAGTTTATAACTTCTGATTTTCAAAGTGGTTCATGATCCAAAAAGTTGAGAAGCACATGAATTGAATATCACTAAAAGTCCTTTAAGACCCTTGAAAACTATCACCAAAACACATTTCATTCAGAAACATACCTCAGTTCTCTGAATAAAGATTTAGGGAATTTAGCAGGCTCATATCTGGTCTCTCACTTGAACTGTTTCCTGCTTTTAACCATAAGCCTAGACTCGAGGGTGTTTTGGCACCGTGCAGCATGCGGGATTAGTTCCCCCACCAGGGATCAAACCCGTGCCCCTTGCAGTCCTGCAGTGGAAGTGTGGAGTCCTAACCACTGGACCACCAGGGAATTCCCAGCCTAGGTTCAAGTTCTGAAGACCTCTTTTTCCTAGGATTGTGTGAACACCTACACTGGAAGTTTAAGGCAGCCCATTCTTTTCTGCCTTTTGTCCAGGGGTATGGAAAGCCCAAAGGGAAATAAGGGTGTTACCCTGACTGTATTTTTTATTAGTGATTTTAAGTAGCAGTGGGGCATATCTGGCATGGATACAAGTTTAGTAATAATTAAGAATTGATAATACCACTACCACCACCTCTGCCCAGAGGAGTCCTTATTTCTCCAGCTTTCCTTCCCTTTTTCTCCCTTCTCCAAATGAGGTACAAGGACATAAGACACTATAGTGTCTTCACTGTGGTTTTGATTACTGTAGGGTCTGCCCTCTTTGTTATAGTTCTCATGAGCCACTCCCTGGATAGTTTTCTCCTATATCAAAGCCAGATTCTTCCAGGGAGGTACCAGCTCTACAGCTGTGCCCTGATTTAAGCCACCATTCTGTATCAGGAAGTCTTCCACAACTTGTGTTTTGTGTCACTGGAAAACTGTAGATACATACAGTACACCAGATATGACCTTTCCATTACTGTATGTTATACTGAAATATCAAGCTGATATGGGAATCTGACGATAGCAAACCACATGAATGAAAGTAAAATGCTTCCTCGTGGGCTTATAGCTGTGCCTGCCTTATTTCCTGTCTGGCAGTCTTCATCCTCACACTGGACTGCTTTATTCCTTACGCTACCTTTTCCTCGTATCTTAACCGTTACTGTGACCTTAAAAAACAGGACACAGATAAGGTTAAGTGGATGTCAAGTGCTGGAGCATCAAGTATTCTCCAGCTTAGATTTGGTGGTGTACCTGGTGGGCCACAATTTCCAAATGGTGATTTAGTGCCTGGCTGTGCAAGCACTTCCTCACAGCCCCTCAGCTGTGTCTGGGATGGACCTGGAGGGTAAATAAAGGTAGAGCTACCACACTGGCAATTCACCTAGTAATCAAAAAGAACTTATATCCAAATTATGAATTCAATTCTAAAGCAGTGATTTTGCGACTTTTTAAAAGTCGCAAAATCCTTTCTGGAATTATATCCAACTCCCCAAATATAAAAAGTACAAAATCAGAGACACCCTGGTTTCCTCCACTGCTCATTAGGATTAAGACTGCAATAACAGACTGAAACGGTCATTTTAAAGGATTCAGTCTTTGCCTCACGTCCCCTGTTGTCTAAGAGGAGCATTACCTTATATCAGAATCAGCCCGTGAGGCTGAAGCAATGATAAAAGCTCTAATTAATTATTGAGCCTTTACTTTGGTCTAGGCATGATGTCAGTTGCTTTTTTTTTTT